GCCGGTGCCTCGAGCCGCCCCTGGGCCCCGTGCCCCCCGTGCCCCCCGGCTGCAGCACCACCCGAACTGCAACTTGCATCACCCGGCAGAGGGCGCACGAAAGACAGCGGGATACATAGAGCTGGAAGATTCAAGCCCTGATACACACTGGAGCTCAGTAAAAGGCAGAGCAGCTTTCCCTCACACTACTTACAGCTGAACACTCACACCATCACAGTTACATTGACCTTCTTCAGCCTTTTGCAAGTCGTTCCCCCTCCTCAGTTTTAAGAGTAGCTTTTATGAAAAAAAATTCAGTTCTGCTGCAAACCAGGCAAGCCCACTGGTAAATGCAACTCACCCTGCCCCAGAGCAGCTGCTGCTTCCCTTTCAAAGCTGAATCAGAAAGTTCTAGATTTAAAAAAACAATTTCAGGATTTGGTATGATTTTATTTGTCCTCAGGAAAAAAGAAAAGGTAGTTACAAATAAAGGAACTTTTAATATGCAGTAATACAGAACAGTCCAGACAGTGGCAGAACACCACAGTGGTTACAGAACGCAGCAGCACCTGGTGGCAACAAAGGTGAGATTGTTACCTACAGCTGGAAAGTCGCTGAAGTCTGTGACATTCCACTGTAAATATAGGTGTTATTAAAAATTACAAACTGCCCTGTAATGACTTTGATAATCTCCTGTGCAGCAGCTCCTATAAAAGAAAGTTAAAAAAAAAAAACCAGAAAGAACAACAAACAAAACAGACAGCAGTTAGCAGGCCATACTTAAAAAACAATGTTTTTATCTACACCTTATTACACTGGGATTATTTGGAAAACACCTGATACAACTTCTAGGAGGAAAAAAATGCCTTTCAGTACTCAAAAGAGTACAAAAGAGACTCAGAAAGCTGTTCCTTCAAAAGTTAGCTTTACACACACTTTGCTGTATATACTTTCTCTGTCTGTATACATGTACACACACGGAGTAAAAATGCGTGAGCAGATGGACGTGTGCAAGTTGTGACCTCTCTATGAAATTGAGAAGTTCAATTTAAAAAAATAAACTGTAAAATAAATTGAAGGGTCACTTCACTGATCCTTTTGTGTTCTCCTGTAGTATGAAATATCCTGTAATTTCTTCCCAATTTTTATCTAGGGCACTGCACATACCAAATTTCACTCAATCAGAAAAAAATTCCCACATCCACGGACTATTTAATATATAATTATCTTCAGCACTGCATGAAGCCAAATAAAGAAGCTAAGTTAATGGATAGACAGACAGATAGATTCTGAGCATTCACTAAAACAAATGTAATTTTCATAATACCCAGAGCCTGAATTAAGGTAAGCAATCAAAGCTATTTCTATTAAATAGATACTTAACATAAGTCTATTCTGTTAAAGCAAAGTGTGCATCGTGTTAATTTTAGTATTACTACAATTATTCCCTTTTTGTAAAACAAAGCCTCTTTCAAGCTCTTCATTTTTAAACACATTTTTAAGCTACTAAAATAGATTATTTTTAAAGTTAATTTGATTTCTTTTCCTGGCTTTAAACCTTTGCTGTATCCACTTTTTCTACACACTGTAAGAGGTCACACATCTCAAGAAGGAAGGGGGCGATTTTG